AATACGCATGTAATAATAATAATAATTATAATCATTATGTTAAATCATTTTCATTCAACTGGTGATATATATATATATATATATATATATATATAAACTAGTGTCGATAATTCTGTGCTTTTGTTTGAAATACAATAGTCGACTAAATTGATCATTGAGATTATTTTTCTTTGTTTGTTCATTATTTGTACATACTAATTACTTAATTATTTATTTATACATACGTGAATTTCTATAATATATCAGTCCCTTCCAAGCGTGAAGATGATGAAATGAAATTATTACATATATATATGTATATATATATATGTATATAATCATCATCAACAATTGTCAACGAATGAAGCTGCCGAACCACTGGCAATTTCTGCGTATTGCTGCCTATTCGCTGAACATAACTTGCTGGAGAGATCAGTCTCTCTTTTTCTATATGTTATTGTAACAACAAAAGAAAAAAAAAAAGAAAAAAGAGACAGTTTATTGAATACATATCTTGAAATTAGTATTTAAACGTAATCGTTGAAAGTATAGTAATTATTCCATTTAAAATTGTTGATTAATTTTAAATATTATTATTATTATTATTATTATTATTATTATCATTATATTATTATTATTATTACTATTATTGTTAATAGTATACGTTAAAACTCGTTATTAATGTTAGGTAAAAATATTAACAAAAAAAAAAAATAAAAGAAAAGACTCACCCTCTTCCTGGTAGTTCCATTACGTCAACGTTGACACTGTTGACGTATAATCGATCGTTACACCAAAAAAAACATAGCGATCGGGGTTGAAGCACGTCCATATCATAAGACCAGGATAAGTCAACTCTTCTGATCTTGCCAATTGAACCTGACGGATGAGCTATCACCATTCTTACGCTCGTGCCATGTTCTAGTCTCATATAACCACTGAAATTTTCAATTAAAATGAATAACGATCAGTTGTTAAATATATTTATCTATCTAAATGTAAATTGGATCAGAAATTAGATAATATCATCACCTAGGTGTGAGATCCATATTACGTATTTGTCCATTGTCAGCATGAAGAGTTACCTTCATAAAACCTTGTACCCAACTTTCAGCAGTGGGTGGTCTAGCTAGATTGATCGTTATCCTGTAGTGTCTTCCTAAATAATAATAATTATTATTCGATTTGTTAGTTAATGCATATACATATATATATATATATTAAATATTTATTATAGTTACATTACGAATGATTAACTAATATCGAATAAAGAACAAGAAATGTCTTTAAAAAAAAAAAGAATAACTATGAACACGTTATAAAGATTAACAAGAATTACAAGCAAAAAAAAAGAAAAGAAATAATAGCAAGTAAAAAAAAAAAAAAAAGAAATGAAACTTACTACAATAAGGATCTTCTTTGCCAGTGTTGAAAAAAAATTTAGATCCTATCAACGAAGAAACATCTTGTTTAGTGGCTTTACTTCTTAACAGAGCTGGACTAGCATCAGCGTGATAACCCATGATCGCACAACTCATACTATCATTTCCCTTGCAAGAAAAACACTCGCCCTTTAAGAACTTTGTATAGCTCGAACATTCATGTGCTATATACTGACACTTCGAATTGATGCTCTCGGTGAAGAGCTTTATGGAACGTATATGATTGCAAGCCACCAGGACACGTGATGCTTCATCAATACCTTCACGTATTAAAGTCAATGGTGTTGTCTCAGTCAAATCTGTACAACCTGGTTGTTCCTTTCCATTGTTTGGATAAAAATCCAGGTGTCCACATGCTTGACTCATCCCATAACCTGGAAGCCCTTATCATATATTTATTTAATTTTTCATTATCATTTTCAATTTTATTTTTTATTTAATTAATTGCTTAAACAATTAAATGGCTATCATTGAAGAAATTTCATAAATTCATCCCATTAAAAAATAAGGATAAAGAAAAAATATATATATATATATACAAAGTGTAATCTATCTTGAATGTTATATTTAATATTATTATTATTATTATTATTATTAACAATTCATATTATTCATTTGACATTTTCATTTCTCTATGATATTTAAATAATTAATATTAAGAGATATTAATTATGTTTAAAGTATATGTTTCTTTTTCTCTAAATGTGTTCTCTTCAATAAAATATTATTAATATAAAAGTGAAATTTCATCTTTTTTTTTTTTTTTCCAAGAAAATACAATTACAAGTATAAAACACATTGCTAATTGCTTTCATATTGTTTGTCATTATTATTATTATTATTATATAAATGAATTTTATTTGTGTGTCGTATTTATTTGATATTAGATAATAATTGAATTATTATTATTATTATTATTATTTGTTATAAAATATAATAATATATTAGGTTGTAGCAATTAATATGATGCCATTGATATTAAATTGGTTGCATGAAAATTGGCAAATTTTTTTTTTTCCACCCTCTCAAGAAATTCGACAATTGTCTGAATGATGGACCAAAATAATAAATAAATAATTCAAATTGAATTTAAATTAATTGCTACACCTGACACATTTTACGTGTAACGTGAAATTTCATTTCAAAGATGACGAATAAAATTGTAATGAATTTATTTTGTTGTACAACTATATCAATGATTACTTGTAAATAATTAATTATTATTCGTCTATATTTATTTAATAATAAATAATGAGATATAAGTTTTTTTTTTTTTTTTAATGGTAAAAATTTCCTTTTTTTTTTTACTAATATATATATGACTCGGTGCATTGAT